CAGGCCAAAATGACTGTCGTTCAATTTCATGTATTTCACCGAACATAATTGTCGCATATCTAGCATGCATTAAAATAGTGCCACTTTATACATTCCCAAATGGCGTTATTTTATTGAAGACAATTTCTCTTGTAAACATAAAAACTTCAAACCGAATGATTGCTTTAATGTTGCAATTTTCAGCTTTGTGATCATTGCATAAAATATACGTTTTTATTGGTGATCATCATTGGTTTTGTTTATCTCAATGCACAACGGAAACCAAATAACTGTTCTAAAACAATGATGGCGGTGTTAAAGTAACTGCGATAGCCATCATCAAGTCTGGAGGCCTTAAAGCTACCATCCCATATTTTACGAGTCTCTGAAATAAAAGTTCGTTTAAATCTGCATATGAAATGCCAAAGTGTATAGATAAAGGTTGGAAGTTTCAGCTCAAATATTCAGCAGACTGGACATGGTCGTCATTCCTTTGTTGAAAATCTTAATCTTTTAGTCCGTCTGGCTTTGTTTCTTCATCGAGTGACCTCTAAAAGGCGACCATTGTATATCTTTCCTAAACGCTCTATAGATCAAAGCGAAATTCTACTATTTGCTTGAAAACGACAAAAAATAACCCCAGAAGAGTTGGGAAAAGATGTCACTGCACACGGGTTTCAGTTATAGATACGTTTGTGCACGCAGAAGATGACTGCTAGTCTCCAACTCATACCTGACAACTGGACATTGATAAATCTCCACAGAGCTTCGGATAAGCATAATATAATTAACCAGTTCTGTTTACTAAAATATATATGGGATATTTACTTTAAATACAATACAAGGGAAAAAGGAATGTTGGAATTTTGCGTTTTAAGTTCTGAAAATCGATCACAACCCCTGTGAGCAAAATTTGATTTGATTTAATTTAATGATGTAAACAATCGGACGGGTTAAAAAAAATTCAGATTGTTGTTAATCAATGGGTTTTTGAGGATCTCAAAATATCTGCTCTTAAATGAACATCTCCATTTATGATGCATGCAAACTGTCATCTTAGCTTTCGAACTTTATCAAGACAAAGATAAATATCATATTACTCAAAGAAAGCAAGATAGTTTACGCTGGCATTTACTAAATTAAAAAAATAATGTTACTCAAATGGTTGGAGGGCAATCTAATAATTCGTAACTTTTTTTTATCGAAGCACAATAAAGTCTAAATTTTCATTAGAAAACCCCGGGGCAAATTACCAGAAAGGAAAGTTATCAGTCACTTTGTTTCAACATAAAAGTGCAATGAATAAATTAAAGTAGTATCGGGTGCTTTAGAAAGAGTATACTCTGTCTCTTACACGACTTGTTTTGCGTCAAGGAGCTAAATCTGTATGATTTTCGTCAAAAATGTGTTGAACTTGGCTAATATGTTTTATTTCAATTAGGGACGGGCTAATTTCTGTATGATAAAAAAATTGTTTCAGGGGGTTACGCGATAGTCAGCTAGTTTACTAATTTACTTTATTATAGGCTTGCTCTGTAGATAGCGGCTTTTATTTATAGGCGTAAAAGTTTTATAGAATATGTGAAATCGATTACTTTATGACCATTTTAAAGTTGTAATTAGACGCAGAATGCGGAAATTGTAGTCGCATCATATCAAGTAGATATTTTATCGTGAAACTGTATGATGCAAAACACTAAATGGATTTATCAGCAAGTAAGGATTTGTCAGGTAATAGAGACTTTTGGCAAGCGTAAATTCCTGGCCCGTATCGCGTATCGGTATCGATTTTGCGTGTGACATGTGTATATTTCATACGTGATACGGCACACGGATACGGCAACACGTATCGAACAGCTTTCATATAATAGCATCGACTTTTTGCTACTTTTAGACGCTGAAATGTTGTGCCATAACGCTTTTACGAATCTATGTGTATCCTAGAACACGAAGGAGTATATTTGATGTGATTTTAACCATGATAAAGACTGGAAATTAAAAATAATTTTTGATGAGTTTTTCTCTGAATTTTCATAGTTTTCCTGTCTGTCTGTCCGCATGCTGATTGATCTACGTGCTAAATTTAGGGAGGTAGGTATGGTGGCTGATTGTATCATGTCGTGGTGTCGAGTGATATGACGGAAATTTGTAATGGACTGTGGTATTTCTTCATCGAATTTCAACTGTAGAGTATTATTTTATGTGCACGGCAATGTGTACACCGGAGCTTTTTTTGTCCAATCTAAAATACTAGACACTATTCTTTGCTAGGCCCTTAGTCCTGCACTACCGACAGGGAGAAACCACGCGGCAAAATCCCGGGGGACCAGGATTAGTGTACATAAACATAGTATTGAGAGAACTACGCCGACATCACGACATCCCGACAATCACGACGTTTTAACCCGACAGTACGACAGTTTTACGCGAAATTACATTTTTAATGCCGTGGTGTCGGGTTGTCGCCTTATGAAGGGCAACGCCACGACATCACGACATGATACCAATCAGTCACTATAGGTAGGACATACAAATCTGTAAATGATGGTATTCTAGGGTAAAGAGGTACAAACTTTCTGAAATGATATACATTAGTGAAACCAAAGATTGCTGTGGGGCCAAAGTCGAAGATTTTTAATAAGATTCGACATTAAATGTATTTTGAATGCCTCGGCGACTATCGAGCGACTTTACTCCCTCCAGGAATTTGTAGGCTGGGCACTTGACTAGTACTGATGGTGATCTAATGTATGGGGAATGTGGTTGACGCTACTGCCGATTGTGTGGGCTGGCTTATAGTGTCGGGTTGTAATTAAATCATATTCACTGATATAAAAAGTTTATACAGCTTTTGACATTAAAAACGTAAAAAACAAAGCATAAAGGCTGATACACGATTGGTTACCAAGAATGAATATGTCTGATAGATTTCATCTTTTCCCCACTTTTTTTGCTCCAGGATTCTGTCACATTAAACGTTCTCGTGGGCTAAAAGCTAAGGTAATAAATTTTTAAATTAGTCAGTGACGTTCAGAAATATACGGGATCAATGAGAGGTTTTATCATATTTTGTCCAGACTACTGCCAGGGGAGTGCGCAAAATGAAAGCAATTGATCTGTTAATTATGGTGGATAAAACATGTCATAATACGTTAAAACATAATACCATAATGGAAACTAACAATTCTGTTATCCTAAATTTAAATCAAATTAAGCAAAAATAATCCGTCTACTACTTTTTATACAATACATGGAATTCCCGAGGAATATAATGGACAAAACGACCACCTGTTAAAACAGCACTGATAGAAAAACATCCTTTGTATTGCCGACCACCTGTTAAAACAGCACTGACAGAAAAACATCCTTTGTATTGTATTTGGATGCCAAATTTTAAAAGCCATGAGAAGTTATGTTTGTCTATAGGGTGTGTCACAGTTGCCCCCAGCCTCCCGATGAAAGCAGAATACTTTTAAAATAGGTATACGTCTGTCTGTCAGTAAATCTGTCTTTTTCTGTACATTATCGAACACAGTAACTTTAATAGCTTCTAATAGAGTTAGAATGTTCAAACTTGGTGTAGGTGTTTATTAAGTGAGTGAATGTTCGATAATGTACATTTTCTCTATAGGCTAAACAGAGATAAACAATTTGATGTGTCGATACTTTAGGACACGATAAAGTTTATTCTAATTGAGTGAGACTGGCATAGTGTTTAGTATAGTTTCATTATATCACTACCTTGACTAAGTTATCTGCTTAGTATAATACTATATATATACTGTAGAGGTTATTTAAGTTTTCTAAATGATGCTCTGTTTAATGTATTGAAGTCGTTAGCTAGTACAAGTGACAACGAGAACCGGGCTAATGAGAGATACCTTGTAGATTAAGATCGGAAAATGACATCATAGTCTGGTAATCCAAATATAATAATCCCATGCTTTAGAAACGTGAACACCCGCCCTCATTGGTGCCCATATTAATACATTGTATTTAAATACGGGGTAGCGTCTGAGCAGCTGACCAATCAGATAAAGGAAGTTCCTGGCCAAATTCCCGGGGGCCAGTTCATGACTCGTTCCTGGAGTTTTACGTCCACTTCCACCAAGGGTGATATCGTAGAGTCCATGACTCATTGACGTATCCTCTTTATAAGACCGAGTGGGATTTATGTTTCTTTAGACATCATTTAATATTCTCAGAAGGACGTTCCCACAGCCTCCTCGGCTTGGAGTGAAGAAATCATTCAGTGTTGCTAGTGAAGACATCATTCAGACATCATAGAGCGGTCCTAGAGGGACGCTTAGCCGCCTCGGCTTAGAGGTCGGAATACCGACAACATGCAGTGTTCCTAGAAAGAAGAGCTTACCGCCACAAAACACAAGCTAGTGGACAGGGAACTTATATTTAGCTTATACTTAATGTCATAGCTGTGTGTGTAGTTTCCTTTATATAACCTTTGTATTATGGATGTTATAAAGATATAAAAATATTGTTAAACCAACAAAGTGTTCCAGAGGCATTTGATCCTTGAAGTTGTATATGCAGCGTGAAAGTCCTACAGAGACGAAGGATAGTGTCACTGGTCGTTTTCTGGAGACCGCGGACAGGATATTGTCACAGTACCAACTTTCGGTGCCGTGACGACGGATAGTCACATCTGTCCCCGTAGTGTCACATCAATGTTTTTTTAGAGATCCGTGACCGGGATAATGTCACATTAGACTATCTAGTGTAAAATGATCTGACTGAGGTAGAATGTGGTGCAGATGTTCGTGGGATGAATATCTTGACAGCGTTTGATGGTGAGCATTTTCCTATCTAAGCAGAGATTATCAATTTGATTGAGTGAGATTATGTGTAGCACGATACATTGTGTCTAATTGGGCGAGTGGTGAAAATCATGCGCATTTTCTGCTTAGGTCGGTTGTAACAAATAGTAGGACAATTCTAAATGGATTATAATGCATACTTTTTGAAACAACCAAGTATAAATTATACCTAGTAGGATGCCTTACCTGTGCTTGGATTTATAGAAAACAGTAACTGTATTGGGTTGATGTCTTTTTGTTTTAAGGTATATAGTAATCTTTCTTTGCTGTTTTCCTCTAATTTGAACGAATACTCAGTCTCTGGCCAGCAAAGTTTGTTTACGGCGTCTTCTAGCGATTCTGCCGGGGCATTCTGTAATTGTTCCAAATCGAAAGATACGGACAGATTTAATGTAGCTAAAGCAGGTTCTACCATTAAAGATGCATCGTTACATACTGCTTTCATTTGAAACTGGGTGTTATCTGCAATGAATAATAACCAAGATCAAATTATGTGGACCTGGAAATCATATATAGAAATATAGGCGAATACATAAATCGTTTGTGTACCAGGGGTTAAGCATGAAACTTTATTCTTTATTATTAAAATAGATAATTATTTATCAAACCCACTTCGATGTGGACTTTTGCTTATGGATATGGAATATGTTTTATAAAGCTGTAGGGATTTCATGTTTACTAACCAAATGTAAAATTGGTAGTTTCCGGAAAACCACATCGTACCTTAAGAAACACAAACGAGTTTTCACGCGAAGACTTCGAATGATTGCAGTTGTCCTATATTTATTAATGGCGAATCGTCAATTTGAACGGTAAAATGGACACAGATCACTAAAGATTTCCCCATTGACTCCAATGTTAATTCTCGTATCTTAGACCGGCTCTAACTTTTTCCCAAATTTTCGTTGGGTAGAACGCTTTCTACCACAGATGGAGCAACATGTGGCAACCACTTGCCCAAAAGCACGTATGAGGTTCTTCATGAAAAACTTGAGATACACAAGCTGGAAGTAGAGACAAGTAAACATGCAATTTCAGGCCCTACATTTCAACCTAACCAACCTCTCAACTCTTGTATCCTTCCGCATCAAAATTATGAATATTCACCAAAACCTGGCAGAAAATGTATTTTCAAACCCTTTTCCTCTATTCTACACCAAAAAGTCAACAAAAATCGCCATGCAAAAGGGGGAAAAGGGAAAAGGGAGAGGAAGACTAAAAATAGCTTTGGCCCTTGTTTCGTGGGTGACGGCGTAGGAATATTTGGTGATCTGTGTCCAATTAACTCTGTAGGAACGGTTTTCTTTTCACTGTGGCAGTTTTGGAATCATCCAAGTGCACAATTTTTAAAGTCCAATTTAGATTTAGCTGAAATGTGTCACACATAAATCTAGGGTAGCTCAAGTATTGTTATTGGTTGTAATTTCGTCTTTTCTTTAATGAAGCTGGGTGCCATATTGAATAGACGCTTCAGTTTTAAAGACTGTTTAATCAGATACTTGAAGGTAACAGATTCCAGACGTTGGGACCAGCAGTCACGAGAGACATATTTACGCCCACTAATTATCACAAAGTATAACACTTCTGCATCCGATTGAAGATCTCTTGGCATTAAAGAAAATCTAAACTTAGAGATTGGTGTCAATTGACAGTAGAGAAGTATATAATAAGTCTTAAGCTGAATCTTGATCAAAGACATTTTATTTCCGTTTACAAAACAGTGCAACAACGTTCTACTTTTCTGCACCAATGAAAATTATGAAGATGAGCATAGGCCATATAATGTGCTATGAGGAAATTTTAGCGGAACAGCAATTTAATTCGCACTGTCGGGGGATCTTATGGAGCACGCCAACGTGAACAAGTGACATCAGTTTTTCGGCCCATCCGAACGACTAGATTCTGTTCTTTGCCATGTTCCAAGTCCTGCACCATTGGCAAGAGGAAACCACGCTGGAAAACCCCAAGGAACTTTCTCGTCCAACACCCCAGACCTGGTTAGTGAGCCAGGGCCTTACTCGCCGAGACAAATACAGACAGAAATCTAGACAAAAAGATTATGACCATGTTTAAAAACTTCTGGACCTATTTCAATAGTGTGGAAAATGAAAGTATCCATTTGATCAAATCGCATGTGTAGTTGACTTTCAAATAGACTCAAGGTTTCACTTTGATAAACATGAAATCTGTCCGTACTATGGACAGATCAGATCTAGACCATGTCTTCACCCAAAGGAATCAAATAAACGTAGCGTACATATATATTTCTTTTATATTGTATACGCCAACATGTCTTGGTGTGGAGCAGTGGGTTCATAAGCGAACGAACCCTATCGATTTTCAGCATTATGCGACTTTCAGTTCCAGAGTTGGGTAATTATTCAAACATAGTGTGGGGCATTAGGCTTGGGATCGGAGGATCCCCGTTGATTTTTAAATTTATTGTGAAGCATTATTGGGATCAGCATTCCGGGACTTATTACGTGTCCGGAAAAGCTAAAGCTTGTTAATATGATAGATATCATATTTCTTGAAGGTATACTGCCTTATCTAATTTGGTCAACAGCCTTCTTTCGAGACATGGCTACTGCGTGGGCGTAATTCAAAGCTCTGCTTAGCTATCTTTTAAAATTGTTGTTAAATGGGCATAGTTTACGTCCGCTTCCACCCCCAGGTGATATCTAATAGTTGTCCACAATTTACACAATCTTTTGTCAAAGAATACCGTTACAGTGTAGTCAGATCGGTAGAATGTTGCTCTTTGAATTAATAATAGCATTATATTATATCTTTAACTAAGTATTGGGTTCACTTACACACATTGTATAGAAGTCATGTCTCATATGCACTAAAGGGGGATCACGTGGCTAAGTGGGTAAGACGCTGGCTCGCTAGCCTGGAGGTCGGGTGTTCGATCCCTGCATTGGCCGAGAAAGTTCATTCCGATTTTCCGGCGTGGTTCCCCCTTGTCAGTGATGCAGGACGGAGGGCCTGTCAAGGACAGCTGTCTAGTCCTTCGGATGAGACGAAAAACGTAAAAGATCCCTTGGCAGTTGGAATTCAATATAAGAGTAGGCGATAGTGCCGCTGCCCGGGCAAAATTTCCCTCATAGCACACTGTATGGCGTATGCCCGTCTTCATTAGCCCAGTATGGGAGCAGAACAGTAGGAGGTTAAACCCCATTTCATTTCATTTCATTTCATATGCACTAAGAAAATGAGTGACGGGTTGACACATAAAAAGAGTTATAATTTGGTAAATATAACTGGTTCTGTAGGAATCCGAATATCATGTTTAACGCGTGATTGGAAATTTACTAAATGCATCATAAACTGTAACCATCCAATCAAATTCATTATTTGCAGAATTTTAAGTCATGACGTAAGCAAGTCTGCTGAAAAGCCAAACCAGCCATTTAAGATTTATATATCATTAGGTTCCGGACAGATACCATCTGGGTTCTTAGACCATATGATGTAGCAATATCTATCAGCAGCCTCGCCCCAGCGAGTCTGGGTGGAATGGGGCTGAGAGAAAGATATTAATTTTAAGTATGCTATTGCAATCTATTATGCACTCTAACCATATAAAAAGGAAGCCAAAGAAGACAATTAAACATACTAGACGATCACAAGGGCTGTTTCAAAATATGTAGTAAGAAAAGAGAGTATGGGTCATACGTAGGATGTGGCGACCAGTTTTAGTGCGTGTCCGCTTTCCACGTCTGACAGACGACCCATGGTGCTACAATAGCCGACATGTCTTATATCATGATTATTCGACACATTGAATTAAATATTTTTAAATATTGGACGACATGACTATTAACAGGACACTCATTAATACCGACATTATCTTACCTTTAAGTTGATAATTGTTAATACGAACTGTTTGTCTTATTTCACCAGAATCTGTGTCGACAGTTATTGCCTTCGATGGCGCCAAATTGTCGGCTGGTGCTATTGAGTATGAAATGGTGGACGTCTCACATGATTTATCAACGTGGTTAAAAGCCCGAATCTGGGTTATAGTGCTTCCTGCCATGGAATTGCCATTTATCAACACTCTGTAAGATTTCTTTGGAAAATACAGACTACAACTTCCTGAAATGACGGAAGAAAAAAATAACATTTTATCACATAGGACCCATTATAGCTTACGTTTAAATCATCTCATCAATAATTCCAAGACAAACGTTTCTGGTTATTTCTGGTTATCCAAGGTGTAACGCTGGATGACAAATGTATTAACAAAATGAAAGATAAGACTGTTTCAAGTAACGAAACTGTCTTCACTTCACACAAAAATATAGATGTAGAATGTTATTGATCTCTAAAATACAGATGTGACGCCATCCTTTGATGTTGGCGTACCATTATTTCTAATAATGTACGGGCAACTTGCCAATCGTACATTATCTATACTAGATGAAATATTGGACTCGCGTGACGTATTTCATTGAAAAGCGCGTGCGGGATAGTGTCTATATTTTAAGTCGTTTAATGGTCTCGAGCTAAAGACATTGCGTAATATATTGAAACAACACTCGGCTAATGCCTCGTGCAGTATCAATATATTACTTAATGTCTCGCTCTTGACCATTAAATAATACACAATAGTGAAACAATTGATATTATTTCTCAGTTCATTGTTTCTGTTGTACATTTGTATACTTAAACAGTGATTTGGCGGGGATGTGTTGTCTTGAGATTACCTAGTACAAAGTAATTTTGGTTTTTGAAATCCAAATCAAATTATCGTTCAAATTAAGCAATTACGAGTGTCCAACACGAAAGAGTGTATGCCTATTTCTCGCCACATTAGGAAGTTTGCATATCCAATCATTCCAGTTATATGAATACTATATGACTATATGACCTGAGAATTGTTCAAATTATATATTACTCCTACGCCACTCTGTTATCGTCTTTGGGGCTCTGTTTGAATTCAACTGTCGCAAGCAAGTAATATTGGCGACAATGTTAAATAAAATTGTATTTTGTCACGCGAAGTAAATAATTCACATCACTGCACTATTTATAATCTTTCATACATTTGATAAAGCCAGTAAAAGGAGGTTTAATGGAATTTATTGAGAATTATTGAGAATTATAATACTGTTATGTTATAAGCAACTTTTGTCTCGACATCTACATAATAATAAAATGCTCTGTTTTTTTATCCAGCCGTATTAACACATACGAGTGTACTGTGAACCGGGAACAGAGCATGACGTCATCTTGAATATCAAAAATATTTTAGTCACATTTCATTTGAATATGATTAGACGCGGGGTCGAGTCGATTTAGAAGGCGGCGGGTATATTATATGGTATATCTGTGGAATAATTAGAATTTGGACCAGCAACGAGAGAGAAATAGGGTTTAACGTCTACTCGAAGGTGGCGGCAATATACATGTAAATAAGTGGAATGGGGTTTAAAGCATCGTTAACACAATACTTCTGTCATTTTGAGACTATAACATATTATGTTAAATATCATTGCAATAGAGAATTTTGCCTGGAAAGCAGCCTTTCCGACTACTCTTCCTACTGCCAAGGCTTATCTTAGTTGCACGCCACAAATTTCCAATGACAAGAGAAAACCGCTCTTGAAAATTCCCGGAAATTCAACCAGGGGCGTTCTTGTCGAGAGGCCAGTACCTATCATTATAGAATTGTCAACACGTACGCGCTTCCAATCCCCCCCCCCCCACCAAAAAACCCCAGAAAATAACTATTAACATACATGGAAGTTGGATGTAGGAATAAAACTGCGTGAAATATGATGCTCAGACCCAAAAATGATTGGTAGCCCTACACTATTATAACTGACATTATTTAATGTAACGAGGCCATTTAACACTATCAGCATTAATATATACGTAAACCCATTTAGACATCTCGTGTGGATATTATATTTTTACTTCCTCCATGAACAGCACCTGACTAGCAGAGGCGTGCTGGGCGAGTGGGCAAGTTACCCTGCCCTCATCAATCCAAAAACAAAAGAAATCGGAAATGTTTGGCACAATATTCTGGAGCAAACGACGCAGACTAATATTTCTTTGATTTTTATTTCGGAACCAACATCCAATCCAAATCCAATGATGACTTCCAGATAAAACATCCATACTACTGTATTCAGAATCAGTTAAACAGTCTTTGTTTTATTTATTTCGCTAAATGAATTAAGGAAAATGAAAAAATATCGGAAATTGCAACACGGGCGACGGGAACGTTTTTAGCTGTGAGCCTACTCAAGGCCAAAAATCTTACCGTTACCACGAACCCTATTGACATTCATTCTGTCGTCATTAACTTTCTTGGCCAGGCTTAAAGTAAACTTTTTAACACAGAGACCACGGCCGGTGTCTACATCTTGATCATCTTCTCGTTCTTATGTCAGTTTACTCCTAATTGCTACTCCCCTCTCATTAGCGAACATAATGGAATGAAACATAGCAGGTATCCTTTGTAAGGAATACTCAATACCAGTCACTTTTGGTGCTTGTTTTATCTACTCGTAGGCCGCCAAGTTCTTTGTCAAGCTATGGTATGCCAGAACCAAATGTGTCCGGGGGCTGCTCACACCATAGAGTAAAAATACCTGCCCCTACCTACCTCAAAGTGCCCTAAAGTTGGTCTACCTACCCTTCCTCGGGGACCCCAGCACGACATTGCTGACTAGACGCACAGGGATAAATCTATCAGGAGAAGCGTTGGGTGTGAATGTGTGCGCATCTTCAATAGAAGGCTTGATCTCGCTTTAACTCCGAACATTTTTGAAAAAACTCACGGTCGTTGCTTCACAAACATGATTTGTGGATTGCTTGTGATCTTTTATAAGTCCTCTTCCTTCACAAAAGTGAAATGAATGGGGTTTAACGTCCTACTGTTCTGTACCAACTGCGATTGTGAAGACGGGCATACACCATCCAGCGTGCTATGAGGGAAAATTTGTCCACACAGCGGCTTTTCCAAATACTCATCATCAAATTCAAACGATCGGTTCTTTATGTGCATACCTACAAGTACAGAGGGGCCCAACTGCTTTTCGTCCTATCCGAACGACTAGACCCTTTAATATTGTCATCCCCACGGAAACCAGATAGGAAAATCGGCCAACACTTGGATCCAACCCTCATACACACAAAGCCACCGTGGCGTGTTCATCCTTAGTAAAACGAGTGTTGATCAAAAAAAAAACAAAAAACAAAAAACCACAAAATACATCGAATGCTTGTAAAAGATAAAAGTTGAAATCCATTACATTTTAAGAAAATCGTCGTATACCATTTGGATAGTTTAATATATATATATATATTAAATTTAGTATTTTTTTTTCCTTTTTATAAAGTCAAAATTGACAAAACTATTAAGAGATGGAATACGAAAACATACTTTATTGACCGGTTCTTACCAGACTTAAATGCTTAATTTCTCCCTTCCGACCGTGTTAATATTCTAATAATATTTAAATAAATCTTAAAATAGGTTTTTAACCTTTTGACTTCGACACTATATAAGGATATTTTAAATCATGTAATTCTTTATTTTTCTATTATCGGTTTTTTAGAGAATAAAATTGATATAAATGCTAAGTTTATAGCCAAATTACATAACTGATCTATTGACATTTATCTTCTCTTCTGTATTGTACTATTGTCAGATTGTCATGAACGTTTATGTCATCCCATTGTTCCTGTATTGGCTATTGTTAAAATATACCAGGAAGACTATGTAAATTAATGTCATTTTATGTACAGGTATTATATACTTTTAACCGTTTTTTTGTACGTTACCTAATATCATTTATAATCCATTGTCATGGAAATCTAGTATTGTAAGAATGTATATATGTATGTATTTCAATATTTTGTATACATTATTAATATCTGAAGACGCCTATAGGGGCAGACAGTTAGCTTATATAATTTATTCAAGAAACTAACCACTGTAAATACCAATATTCAACGATCAATGTGACCAACAACTCAGATTAAAGCAAATCCACCCGTGAAAATATCAGATTTGACCCAATAATACCCAATACAAAAATCCAAAGAGTAAAATATTATTAAAAGATGCCTTTCCATTAACCATTGCCAATTACTTCTCGATAAATTTCAATAGTGGTGACCGATTTCATAATTAAAAACAAACATTCCAGTGATAGGATTATATTCTTCAAAGGAAAGGCAGCTTTCGAAATCGTTATGAATGGGGCAATATTTGTTTAGTTAGTTATTTCGTTCGATTTATGGAAAACGTAAGCTCCTTTTGGGATTTTTAGGGTATTAAAAGAAAAAGCTTTCAGCAGAGACATGATCCTCCTTTTTATAACCTGTGTGAAAATCCGGAAGCTTTGTTTTTATGATGAAAAAAGTGAAATAATTGAGGATCATGGACTCTTCCATAAACGACACCGGTCCTATGATGATATATTCATTAAAATATTTCGGAAATACGGTGCATTGTTACGTACATCCATCTTTATTTCAATAATTCACTTCAGCACAAAGATTTTATCGGCGAGATAAAACCACACTAAAGTGCACGCGTCTGATCACTCGACAACACGCTTCCAGGGGCGGGTTGATCCAAACACAATTATTTTAAGGGTCCATTAAATTGTAACGGATCGTGGAAAGTCAATTTCGGACTGTTTGGTCATTGGCTGCATTTTAAAATTGTAAATTCAATGTACATGTATAACAGCTTCATGGAAGTTAGTATTAACAAGAAACTGAAGAAAGTGCAACCCGTTCACAAAACATGATTTAAGACAAAAAGATAACTTTAGAATTTACTACAGAAACCACTATGAAAAAAATCTATAGAATACTATAGTATTTCTCTATAGAAAATGTAGCATAAATCCGTAAAAATTATAAGATTTGCACCACAGAAACTGTAGAATATTAGGGCCGTTATTTCCTATAGACCCCCACAATTCTGTAGAATACTATAGCATTTCATCCTATAGAAACCCGCTAGAATGTTCTATTGAATTCTTCTATAGTAAACTACACTGGAATTCTATAGCAATTTTTGTTAGCGGTATACATCAACTGACAGCCGACTAATGCCATCGTTAAAC